TGCTCCAGGTGCAGCCTCACCAGAGCTGAGCAGAGGGGCAGGATCCCCTCCCTCGACCTGCTGGCAACGCTCCTCCTGATGCAGCCAGGATCCCATTGGCCCTCTTGGCCACGAGGGCACATTGCTGCCGCATGGTTAACTTGTTGTCGACCTGGACTTGAAAATCCCTCTCCACGGAGCTGCTTTCCAGCAGGTCAACCCCTAATCTGTCCTGGTGTCTGGGGTTATTCCTCCCCAGGGGCAGAACCCTGCACTTGTCCGTCATTGAACCTCATGAGGTTCCTCTCTGTCCAGCTCTCCATCCCGTCTAGACCTCTCTGAATGGCAGCACTGCCCTCGGGAGTGTCGACCACTCCTCCCAGGTTGGTGCCATCTGCAAACTTGCTGAGGGTGCCCTCTGTGCCCTTGTCCAAATCATTGATGAACAAGTTGGAGAGCACTGGGTCCAGCACTGACCCGTGCGGGACCCCACTGGCCACAGGCCTCTAACCAGACTAGGCCCCATTTATCACCACCCTCTGGGCTCTGCCATCCAGCCAGTTCTCAATCCACCTCACTGTCCACTCATCTAACCCACACTTCCAGAGCTTCCCTATGGGGATATTATGGGAGACTGTGTTGAAACTCTACTTCGAAGGGTTATTCTTTTTCCTCAAATTTTCTTCCATCAAGTCTTTTCTTTGAGGCTCTCCTTTGTATCTTCATTTCATTGATGTGTTACCTTCCTTCTAATTCTACCAAGCATTAGCAGTGGCCACTTTTTAGTTTTCCACTATGTTCTTGAGTTTATATGCACTAGGAAATAGAAAAAAAATCCTTCATTTTACATAACCTTTGCAGTGATACTAACGATGTTTAAGTGTATAAAGAAAAAAATAATGCATAACTACTCCAATATTGAGTCTTATTTTAGAATTGTGCAATCTAATTATTATTTTAAGATTTGTGCAGCTTTAACAAATAACTATAAAATTATTATCAGACAGATCAGAAGCAAGACCTGTCAAGGCAAATAGAAGTTCTATATGTATCTTACTAAACTTCCCTTTTATTTTGTTTTATTTTAAATGACTGGTTTCTTTTCCCAAACTTTATCTTCCAAGTATGTTGTGATGGAAATATGACAATCCTACCATGTTTTTGATCATCTAGATTTCCAGGAGGAAAGAAAAAAAAACTTTGAAATGAGACTGAAATGAGTCAATATGTGTTTAAATTGTTTTTATAAACTTCTAAAAGGATCAAAAATCTTTATTTATTTTTGTTGGGTTTATTTGTAGATATTTTTATAGACTGTTTAGACAGTGCTATCGTATTTTACTTCTGCGTCTTTTTGTATAAGAACTTTTATCATTTACAGAAGTATAGTGGGAGGTTTTGTGAAATTTTCTTTATCTCAGAAAGCTCCCACCCTGAGTTAGAATGAAACACAACAAAATATAATTTATAGACAGTGAAGGAACATCGCCAGTATGAATTTCCAGTTTTTAAATGAGGTTTAATTTCAGGCAATTCTTATTATTATTAGCCTAGTAATTTAAAATAAATTTGCTTCTTGAAAGTGTGTATGTAGGCTAATGCTATTCATAACAAAGAAAAAAAGAGATAGAAATTCATAGAATACAGAGGAGTTTTATACATATATATATATGTATATATGACAGGTCTGTCAAAATACTGCATAGAGTGTCAGCAACTCTCTTCTGTTAGGATGTATCATTTCTCCTTGTGTCAAATTATCATAATATGCCTGTCATCGCTTCTTTCATTTAACTTTAAAACTGAGTCTGGGAGCTACATATGGATTCAAAATGTAGACAAAATCCTTACATTGAGCAATACTATGCAATATCAATCATTCTCTGTCTTGGTTTGATGATATCATCTTGGATTAAAGCATACTCCAGTGCTTCATAATATCTGGATTTCTTTCCAGTTGCCAAACCCTTTGGCAGTGGCTTATCCTTTTTCACAGCCAAGTCTTTGATAATTTACTAATACCGATTTAGTTATTGCATTCTGTGATTTACAGCTATATTATATTGGTGCTTGTTGGGGAGCTTCTTTTTGTTCCATCTTGCGTAAGCTTTACAAGGAATGCTTGCAGTAACTGTAAATGTTCAAGAGTAGCACTTTAAATCACTCTAAAATGTTTCATATGCAAGTGTCTTCTTAAAAGTAGGCTTTCCTGTAGGCATACACTATAAGTCTGAAGCTTTAGTTACTTTTATCCTCTGTTCTATAACTTTCTGTTCAGTTTGCATGGTTTTCAGGGCAGGAACCAGTCACTGTTCTGTTTGTAGGAGCCTACAGTTGTTGGCCTGTGGATACAGTGAATTTACATGTGAATAAATTTTATATTTCATAGTAATATACTCTGCTTGAGCTTTTTTTCTTTTTTCTTTTTTTACTTTTTTTTAAACTGGAGTTAGAGTATAAATAGACAAGACTTATTGTCACCATCTTCTTCCTGCTTTAATCTATAGTCCTGTCCTCCATGCTTATGATTAAGTATTTCTCTGTTCCAATAAAACACAGAATTAATGCAACATCTTCTTACCATTTCAGTGTGCGTTTCCTGTGCTTACAAAAAACTGACAGTCTTTCATATTCAAAATCTCTTTTCCCCCTTGCATAACTGCCTCTATTCAACTGTCAACACAATATCATGGGTGAAAAGATTTTAGGGTGTGGAGTATTTCTGAGATTTGGGCAGTTGATCTTGAGATGTCAGATAACACAGGTACATTCCATAAATGATGCGGTGCTGAGTTATTGAATTATTTTTAGATACAGTATTATGTTAATGATGATACTGGCAAGGGAATATAACAAAGGAATTTTGTACTAACAAGACCTGCTGCCATCTCAAAATATTTAGATGTACTATTATAATTTTCTGATATTATCAGTACTGTTAAAATGAATTCTGTAATCTTCAAGACCATTTTCTGCAGCATTTTCTTTTTTTTTAACATGGTGACAACTGCAAGGCAGTGTGACTTTTTTGTGTCTGTTTTTTGCATCCGAACTCACCTGTCTTATTTCTCCTTCAAGGTAAATAATTACAGTTTAGAAGAAGTTACCCATGAAGAGGCAGTCGCGATACTGAAGAACACATCCGATGTCGTGTATCTCAAAGTGGGAAAGCCCACCACCATTTACATGACCGATCCTTATGGCCCGCCAGATATTACTCATTGTAAGTGACTTTTGCAATTCATTTTGCATGAGACTTCGGTTTGTCAGATGAATGTGTCTTTTCTCATAGCTTGCTCAAAACACTCCATTAAAGATTATGAAACAGCTTGGAAAGCTCCATAAATGAATGTTTATTACCACGTAAGTATGCTACACTAATGAAATACTACAAATAATATAACTCTACTGTAAAAATATTTCGCAGCAAAAGTAGCAATGTAGATAATGTACTGCCGAGCTAATTCCAGTCAGCCATTGTCCAAGCAGCAGACTGAATGGTATCTCTTATGACAGTTAATGTGATAAATATATGCAAATATATTCAGAAATATTATTGGATTTGTGGACTGGTCCTCTGTCCACTGAAAAATTAGAACAAGCAGCACACCATCCTGCACAAAGTTACCTGAGAAAAAGTCTGAGGAAAAGGAATATATTATGTTTGGATATTTACTTTGAATTTAAATTACTGCTCTACCTACACAAATCTACCAATTTTCCATGCATATCTGCTTTCTAAAATCCTCTCCCACTTTGCTTCATTCTCAGTCTACCCTTTATGTATGTTCATCTGACATTCCTTCACTGAAAATGAAGACATTGTTTGTCCTTGCATTGGAAAACTGTTGTTGAAAAAGTTGTTGAAACAGATTAGCAAAGCTCAGTGCAAGATCTTACGTGGGGGAAAGGGTGATTTTATTCTAAAACAGATTAATTTACCTCAGGTTTTCATACGTTTTTATATATTCATATTCATACATATTTTGATCTGTTTGTCCTCAGAAAGTGGAGTTTTGCTTGGTGTATTAAGGACCCATTAAGGTGCCATGAACAGGTGCCTTTCTTATAGCTGCACCTTCCTGCTATTCCTCCTGGTGTTTCCACGCCAGCCATTCCCATTCCCTTTTCATTCAGAGCAACATTAAGATATTTCCACCGCAGCTCTCTATTCCCCCAGAGCTTGCAAGGGTGACCAGTTCATTACTGCAACTCCCTTCCTTCATGTAGTTGATGTTTAAATACTGTCTGACTGCAGTTCCGCTACCAGCTGGGACCAGCTGCCACCATCGAACAACTGGATGGTGGTTTAATTTCTGTCAGTAACTGATCCATATCCAATTAGAACATCTGCCAATAATACTAGGGGCATTTAAGGCCAGGAAGCCAACCAAGGACTGGAAAAGGCAGCTTTTTCCTGTAAAAAAAAATACAGAGATTAAATTGCTCTGCACTTCTTCATACTGTTGCTCAACTGTGGACTGACAAAGCTGAGTTATGATATAACTATCCATAATCCTCCTTATTCAGACTCCATAAAAGCAGAAGGGAAGGTTTTGTAACACGCACATCAGGTGGTATATTCAACTGTGCTGAGGATACCTATTTGCTTAGCAAATGTTACAACAGATGGCACGATTGTTCAGCAACAGTCTGCTCTGGATCCTTAGCAAAGCTTGAGAAGTAAAACCACTAAATATCCCCGTCCAATCCCCTGCCTTATAATGTTTTCTAAAATAATAACAGAGGGGGTTCTAAAACGCTATGTTTTGTTATGTCAGATCAGCAGCATATGAGAAGATGGAAACAATTCTAGAGGCTGAAAAGGGTTGACAAAAATTGCAATAACCCATCCCAGGCTGTTGGTTCATGGAGATTTATTTATCCCCTGGGAACCTTTCATTATACCTGCATGTTCAGAGTGTTTCAGAGTGGATAATAGCCTTTCCCCATAGAGATATTTTGCTTTGAGACATTACATATCTAAGCATGTGAAAGAAAGGCTAAGACTAGGAAGTTTAAATATCTTATTTTCATGAGAAAATCATAGCTCACTGCAGAAGTATGTATCTTTATTTTTCCTATTTGTCATTTCCTTTTCAATTAAATTAACTAGAGATTTGAATAGAACTGTTATTGCATCTCTCCATTAGAAATAATAATATCCCCAATAACTTGAGAATGGGAAAAGGCAGACAAACAACAATGAAATCTGAAGACACAATATAAAATTAGACCTGTATTCCCCTAATTGTCATTATTAAGCATGGTATGTATAACATCTGAATCTGCTTTCTGTTTTATATCAAGATTTACTGAGATCTGAGTGATGATGCCATCTATATTGATACTGGAATTTCAATTATATTAGCAATTTGACACTTTAATATATCCCAGTTTTAAATATTCATCATACATAATCCTTGCCATAGCTAAAGTTCCTGCCCTGCTCCTGCATTAAACTTTTATTGGATTATTCCCACTGATTTTTATTGTAGCCAAAATGATGAGTATATTTTTCATCTCATTCTTTCCTACCTGAAATTCCTTTTTCTAGTCTGTCCTAATTAAGGAAAATGTTTGTTTCCTCTCTCCCAGACCATTCTTTCACGCTCTGCAAAATGATTTAGCAAAAATGTTATTATTGTTGTTATTATTATTACCATTATTATTATTGTTAATATTTTGGGAAAATCCCAACTGTTCATTGTTTTATTGCCATGTTAAATTTTAATCTCTCTCAGGCATAGACTATTTTGGTGTTATATAGAGCAATGAGCACATTGTTGGTACTTTACTGATGATGCTGTGACATAACCAAACAGGAATGTGGCTAACAAGAAATGCTTGTTCTTGCCATCAGCTTATTCTCCACCGATGGAAAATCATATACTCACTTCTGGCAACAATGGCACTTTAGAGTACAAGGCATCTCTGGCCCCGATCTCACCAGGAAGATACTCACCCATTCCAAAGCACATGCTTGTGGAGGATGACTACACCAGGTCAGATGCTTTTCTTTATTTGCTGTCTTTGCTGGCGATTGCAAAGAAACGGAGCTAAAGCAATTAGTTCAGCTCAGGCAGAATATGGCTGTTGACACCCATGTTCAAAGGAAGATGAAATGAAACTGTGACAAGTAGGGAGAGAGCTAAATGAAAGATCAGAGAGATGAATGATAACCTGAGGTCCATGGTATACGGATGCAATCCTGTACCAGTTCCTAAACAACATGGTTGCATTAGAGCAATGCTGAGATTGAGCAAAATATTCTGCTTCTTAACAGGTGTAGTAGCTGCAAGAACTCCTTACTAGCACAGCTAGAAGATTTTAGAATCGGTGACTCATCGGCCTCACTGCATGGTATGGGTGGAGTGACTATACATGTGTTTGTACCTGTCCCTGGCTGTGCCCTGGAAGGTCTGGCTTGTTTAGTTTAGTGAAAACAACCCTGAGATAGGCCGTAATTGCTCTGTGTATATATATCGAAGGATAAATGCCACGAGGAGTAAAAAATATGGGAAAGTAGAAAATTAAACTGACTGTGAATAAGTTTAGGAAACCTGGAAAAAAAATCTTAATCATTAATCATAATATGGAACAGCTTTCTGTGAGAGAACAGAGGTAAAAGTAAAATTGCATATACAATAACACTTGATATCTTTATAAAAGGAATTCTTTGATGTGATTATCTGCAGTAGAAAGAAACTGAGTAAAATGACCCTGGAAACCCCTTCTATTTCTTTCTTCTTGCATTCCCATAGGAGTCTACCGTGTGGAAGTAAAGTAGCATAATTTTATCCATTTAGTTGGTTTCCAATTATAAAAGACAAAGAGGAAAGTGCTGAGAGGGTTCTTTTCTGCCTTGTGCTATAAGAACACTGAATGTCATTGATGAAACAGTTTATCTTCTTTTTCTATTTGTTTGAAGAGAGCCACCATTCACTTGGAAGGCAACAGTTCTTAAATGTGTGAAATGAGCTCTCAATATAATGTCTGGTGGAACAGAAAATACTAAAACTATTTTTTTTTTCCGGACTTCAATATTTATAGATTGGCTGTGTTTAAAGCTAGAATAGGGCTGTTCTGATGATCTCGCCTGGCCTACTGGGTATCCCAAGCCAAGGAATCTCATGCACTTATGTATTCATCAGCTTCATAACCTACTAATTTGCATTACATTTTTCTGGTTACTTCTGATTAAGATCTTGAGCTGCTTAACTTGTTGGATCAGAGAGATTCAGAGTAACTAAATCATGATACGGTTTTTCATCAGGACATAAAAGTTTGGAAACCACACCTTGCTTCCCTGGCCTGGATAAATGAATTTCTCCTTTGTTTTGACTGAGGATACCAAGTGCTTTCCTTCAATTTATGAGATGTTCCTTTAGGATGATTTTTTTTCTCCCATGGATTATAACAAGCAACATATTTTAATTAATATTTCAACTAATAATTTCATTAAAATGTGCATCAAGGCCTTACCTGGCTCAGTATTGATCTCATAATTCCTAAAGTATGTGTATAGAAAAAATATTAGTACAATCTCTAGGTTACAGTAATGAAGGTTTTGTAGGGCTGAAGTCTGAGAAAGGCTTGGCAAGATTTAAAAAACAGCAAAAAAGGCAACCTCAAAAGTAGATAATAGCTAAGGAGACCAAGAAGCTGCGGAGCGTGGAAGGAATAATTGTGAAGAAGAGAAGAGCTCCACTGAGCGTGGGATAACCATTCATTTTGAAGCGCTGCAAGGTATCGCAGAAGGGTGCTTATATAGACCTGTGTTTCTTTACATTTCATGTAATGGATTTTAACTTACTAATTAGTTCTACTAAAACTAAATTAAAAATCCTAAAACAGAAGAGAAGACAATGGCACTCCTAGCCCCGTGGCTCAGTATGTGCCCAGTACAAAGCACACTGTTTTGAAGAATGCTGGAGATATACTAGAACGCATTACTGGAGATATATTGAAACAAATTCCTTAGGAAGAAAAATGCTTTTTAAAAAAAATTTGCTTTGAAAATAAGTTAATTCGCTATTTTATCTCCTGATAATAACCCAAATACTGACACAGCCCTATTCTCAATTTGTTATTCACGCCAACCTCCATTTTCTGTTATTTGGGAAGAATTAATGCAACTCTGTGCTCTAGGTGTCCCTGCTGGAGCAGGACGGTTGGATCTAGATGATCTCTAGAGGTCCCTTCCAACCTCAACCATCCTGGGATTCTGAGATTCCATGGATGACTACCCAGCAAAGCATGAATATTCCATGAATATTCCTGTCCTGCAGTGTTCTTGCTACCTAGATTTTGAGAATAATGTGTTTTGCAATGAAAGTCGGATACCCAAAGTCTTCTGTAACATCAGCACTACTGACATGAAAAGCTGGATTTTTCTACAAATGTGACTTTCTAAGGCAGGCATATTTTAAGGTGTCAGAAAACAAGGTGTCAATTAAGTCAGAAATGAAGGTGTCAATTAATTAGGACAGAATCCTGAGTAGGAATGAGCTATCAACCAAAAGCTTATATTTCTAAATAGGTATTTATTGAATAAGCCTATTTATTGAAAAGGAAGTGGATACTGTGAATTTAGTAATATTGACGATAATTCCTTATATGCTACACTGATCATTAGAACACAGATATAATGAATATAAGGTGATGTTACTGAACTAATACACTTCTTGCTGCTGTATTTCCTCACTGAAAATATAGTGGTCAGCACCGTCTGAGAAACACCCGAACATGAGTCAGGAGGCCAGATTTTCCGCTCTGACTTCCATCATGGAGAAGCTCTGACCTTCAGAGACAAACTACTTGATCCTTGAATGAGAATGAGCCCTTTTTTATTTAAATGCCCATGTAGCTAATTATGGCATACTGAGTTAAGTAGGAGGTTTAGGAAACCAAGCACTATTGAAAATCCTACAGTTAATCCTGACAGTGATTTTTCACACCTATCAACTGGGAATAGTGGTCGCACTCTTTTTGTGCAGTGCTGTAGCATTTGCTGATGAGTCTGCCTTCAAAATGCAAAGGTATTTGGAAAGTCTTTGGTGCTGGCCAGTTTGGAAACACTTAAAATCCTTTGGGAAGTTAATTATCATATCGATAATTCTAGTGGCCCTATAGATCCCTTGATGCATCATTTATAATTAGGTTTCCTCACATAATTTTTTATAATTAAAATGATTGCCAACTACTGCAGTGCTATCCATTAAAACTACCTGGTTCTCACTATAATAGGTTTTCAGAGGTAATTTGCATGGTGATCACATAGGGAAATTTATTACCCATGCAGTTATAATATGACAACACTTCTGGCCGATTTCATTTGTGCCAGCTAAAAATATTTGAAACAGTAACTTCTCCAGTATAAGAGGTGTTTGCAATATCATAACTCTTTGTACGTGTGGCTTGAGAGAAACTGATGGCAGATTTTCTTTTAGCTTATTGTAATGAATTTATGTGTAAAACCTAAATGGTTGAACATTTGGCATAATCTATCCACTTTCTCTCACTTTTTTGTTTTGTCACATTTTAAATTTTAAATAAAGTAACGGAATTTCAGTTTAGTAAAAGTGGATAAAAGTCATATACAGTGATCTGCGAGTAAGTCCTTCTTTGAATTTCTCTTTTTAGTAAGAGGGTGGTGATGCGCAGGCAATCCAGGTGATTCCTTGACTGCATTGATAACGATTTCCTAATGAAAATGTGCAATGGGATAAAGAGTAGTTGTGTGTTTGACCTGCTGCTTAGGAAAGGGAAGAACTGGTGGCAAATGTACAGCAGTTAAGGTCAGATTGTCTATGAATTGGTTCAGTTCAGGATTCAAAGGAAGTCTGAGAAGACGGCAAGTTAATTAGCAAAATCTCTTTGGATGCTGCCACAGAGGCACAGCGTCCAGGAAAAATGGCTGGAGACTCTAGAGAAGCCTCATGGAAGTTCAACCAGAAGCTCTGCACCTGGGGAGGAAGAGCCCCGTGCATCAGCTGAGGCTGGGAAACAACCATCTGAAGAGCAGCTTCATTGGAAAGATCAGGAGGTTACAGCAGAAGCCAAAGAATTTAGGGGTAATCTGAGAACACTCTAAACTACTCGACTATAAACATGATCCTAGAAAGATCATAGAAAGGTCATAGAATCATTATGGTTGGAAAAGATCTGCAGGATCGTCAAGTCCAACCGTAAACCCGTCACCACCATGCCAGCTAAGCCATGGTGGCTTAGCCTCATCTACATGTTTCTTGCACATCACCAAGGATGATGACTCCACGACTTCCTTGGGCAACCTGTTCTAATGCTTCACCACTCTCTCCATGTAGAAAGGATGAAACCAGACTCTTCTCAAGCAGTGGTTTAGGGGTTCTGATTGGAATTTAAGAAGGAAAAAGTGTCACCAGATGGGTGGGGTAGCATGGACACAGGTTGTTGAGAGGGGCTATAAAATCACCATCCTTGGAGCTTTTAAGATTTGGCTAGATGAAATCATGTAATGTGTCAATAATCCTACTTCAGTCAGGAGGTTGGACTAGATAACCTCCAGAAATACCTTCCAACCATAAGGAAGAATAAAATGATCTGTTTGCGTTAGTGTTTTTGTGGAATATTCCTTACTAATAGATGTGAGAGAGTAGTTACTGTTTAGTCTTTAGCACATGCTATGCTGCTTTTTTACAGAAAAAAAAAACCCTGAAATTATAGTCTAAAAATGCTATAGTTTTTAGATGTTCATTCCTTCTGGCTTTCATGAGCAACGTATGCGAAAAATCCATAAAAATAAACTACCATGTTGAGTTTTTACTTACTTTCTAACTTCAGAAAATGGTAACATCAAACTGTTGTGCTTCAGCTGATAAAAAATCCACTTTAACATTTAACTATGGATAGATATTAAAGATTCATAGAAGAAAAAGGCAGCTGAGTTATCTGTTGTGCTCTGAGAAGCATTTTTGATTTCTTCTGTATGCATCTTTGCAAATAGCATTTTATGGAGGAGGAG